CCATCAAATACTTAGGTTTAAATTACACCAAAATCTTGATCGTTTCCCACAAGCCGACAGAATTACAGCGAAAGCGGCCCAGATATGTGGCTTTGTTTCTCACCATTTTCATCTTCCTGAAATTAAATAAAGACTTTATCGAATGTTGCACTTTGCGTTCTTGCGTATTGCTGTCCACTCTTTGGTTTGATGAACAAGGCTAGTCGTTTAAAGATTGAAAATTTTCAAATGCATTTTACTAGAAGACTTTTGAGTACGATACACCTAAATACTTCTTAATCAGATAGATGCACGCTAACTAACCTAAAATTTCTATGGGTTCGATGCAGGCTTCTATCTCATCTTTCGCATTAATAACTGTTCAAATCTCCCTCGGATTTCAGCCTTTGCCCCAATTACATCATTAATAACATCTTCGCAATTCATCTTTGATTATATCTCCTCCTGCGTCCTTCGCCTTGAGGTGCTCCTTTTTATGATTCCAGGTATACTTTCCTCTGGAATAACATTCCAATCGATGAGTGATCATCAAATAATCTGCGAACATTTAAGGGAAGGCTGCGCCTCAATCTGAATACTAGCTCTGTTGAACTTGTATTTTCCTCGTCCTTCACGGTCAGATTTCTCTACAACACTGAGAAAGGGCCACCGGGATCTAGGACATCGCCATTTAATTGCAGTATCCGCTCACATTTCCTTCTCTGTGTGTGGTTCCCCTTTCTTGAGTTTATCGTCAAAATTTTGATTTTTAGTTCATGCATCGTGTCCTTTACAGAACGCGATATCCCCTTTGACAAAGCCTCATAAAGAAGTAGCGGGGCTAGGTTTATGTGCATGATCTGAGCCGCTTTCGTTTCGCCAATCGCCGACCCTCATCAGGAATGCACTCTGACTACTGCGATTTTGAACCTTAACCTTTAATCAATTATTTTCGCGGTTTTTGATGTCGTCTTATCATTTCCACCCCAAGCAGTCTGTTGACGATCAGGGTGGAGTCCTCTGTTTTCGCCATTCGCCAGTAGATTAGCGAGTCAGCAAAGAGGCCTCAGGATCGTATTCTCCCCCCTACGCTTCCACGACCCCCCTAGCCTTAATGTCTCCCCTCGGCTGGACACTAAGCGGGCTGTGACGATCGCGTCTAGGTCCCCATTTTCTCGCCACTTCAAGGCGGATAGCCTCATCCGGTTTAGAAAAGCTGTCATGACGATTTGCGTTTTGAATACATTATGCAAATTCATATGCAGGCCAGTCCTGTTTGACCTGCATATTAACTCTTCCATGAGCGGCAGTTTTTCCTCCTCAAAAACTAACCAATTTACATCAATTTTGTTTTTTTCATAATAAGTTTTTTTACTGCTTGCTAGCCGTTTTTATTATTTGACTGTTTTTTCTATAACCGTGAACTGAATATTGTACAGAATCTGTCTACTTGTCATAAAATTCGTTTGAACGTTTATTTTTACTCGCTATAAAAGTACCATCACGCGTACCCAATAAAATTATTCATCTATCTTTTCTAGGGAACTTTTCATTGAGCATTTTTAGTGGGCCATTGTGGGGTATTATTTTCCGATGTTTATAAAGGGTATTGATGGGATATCTAGTTGTATACTCCCAGTTAGTCACTTCAGATCGAATCACGGACTTTTCTCGAAGATATTTGATATATACTTTCATTTTAGAGACATTGTGATTTTACATTATCAGTCTGAACTAAAATATAACCACCAAAACTTGCAGGAGATCTCCTAATCGTTGTTTAATTTCGATCCTATTCCAACTGCTAACTCCGACGTTAGGATGTGGGCAAACGCAAACAAATATAGGGGCGGACGCCTGGTATTTCATCCGGTGGCCCAGTCCACCCCAGGACTACGAAAATAAATAAAAGATAGTAATTTACCTTTAGGGCTGTTTATACAGGGTAGTCTGTGCGAGGAAATCGCCCACGCTTTTTATACTGCAGCAGCATATCAGTCGTACACAACGCTCCTGTTAGTAAACGTCTGCGTCCTAAAGGCTGGGTAGAATTGGGATCCACCGAACCATTGTCCAGTCCTTGCGATCATTTATCTTTAATTAGTAGTTAACTTCGAAGTCCGTTTGTGCAGGACAACCTGAGCAAGGAGGCTATACGTACTGTTCCCACTTTAGCAGTTTGTAGTATTATTGATCATTTGTGTTGAAAGCGAAGGACGAGTGATTATTACGCTTAAGGGAAACATATATATTGCCCTTTTGTGATTTCTCTTGAAAGCGATTTTGTCACAAAGCATTTCTTTAGATTATAATGTCATCAACTAGAATGGTATCTGAGATGTTTTTTCCTGATATCAACTACGTGTATCCAGACGCTGAAATCGACCGAATCTATCTATTTGTTGAGTGTCGGCTGGGCTCTAAATTCTCCTCAGTCTACTTTAGGCAGATCCAAATCACCAGTAATCACTTTATATCCGGTGCTTCTTTTAAATATTATTTCCTAAACCGACAGAGGACTATATACCCTTTGTTAAAATCCGGAGCCAATTGGGGCATATGGTTAGTGCAATTTTGCGTTAATCCCAGTGATCAATGGGTTAAAGATATTGGTTTGTTCAATAATAGTTCTAGTGTGTGTCGGACACCCTACGCATTGTTTGTTATGGCGGTATTGTTGACAAAAATATAAATTCATTTTTGGGGACGACGTCTTCTTTAACAACCTAATTCAACGTGTTCTCCCTAGCCAAACGTCATAAGGGTCGGAGTTTTAACATAAACCCTGTGTTTAGCTAGCTTTCCAGCATCCAACCTTGTATTAATCAGGGAAATGCTTTTATTATATGTTGTGACAACAACAATAAAACCACTAGTATTGCAATCGTAGGTCCATAAGTGCAATATTTTTACGCCAGGAAGAAAGGAAGCTTGTTGTATGCGAGTATCCGAGCTACTATGTGGTTTTGGATTCCTGTTTATTTAAATGGTTTCATCTGAAGGGACGGAGGTAGGCAGGTCCTACATCTATCATGTTTTACATTCAGGACGTTAACTTTGGGTAAAAAGATATACTGAATGGTCGGAACAGCGTTTAAACCAGAATTCTGCTGGGATGTCTTACGGTCAACTACAGTAGTCATGACTACAGTTTACGTAAGGAAGCCTATAATATTTATGTATTGCCTTTCAGTGTCAGCGATATTTCTAGAATATAGTCCTTCCTGCAATAATCTGTTTGCACCGTTCTTTTTCGGACGCACATCTGCCGTGCCAACATTTTGTTGGCTTCTATAATTCAAATCCTTATGCTTGAGAGGGGGTAAATGACGGCTTTTACAGTTTAGATGACTAACTGGCGTCCCTCCCATCGTTGAAAACTTTGGCGTACCTATGCATGATCGGTTCGAAATGGACACTGACGTGCTTCGACGTATGTGACACACACAAACACACACATACACACTGCCTGCAAAATTACACGTTGTTTGGGAGCAGGAGGAGGATGAGGATGAGGATGAGGAGGAGGAAGAAGAAGAAGAAGAAGAAGAAGAAGAAGAAGAGGAGGAGTGGAGCAACCTTTTAAAGTTTATGCAACCTCAGTTTTCTAGTACTAGGACGGATTCAGCCGGACAAGTAAAAAGCTACAAAACCATCGCGTTTTCCATTTCGATTTGAGGTTTTGACGAACACATCTCGTATGTTTGAAATATCATCATTAATAGCTCCCCGATTAGTCAGTGCGCAATAAATATCCCAGGAGGTACAGCAAATTAGTTTACTTAGACGGCATTCCTCAATCTGCCCCCTCTGATAATATTAATCATATCAAGTTCATTATCTGGGTTGACTGCACTCATGCGTCGGCAGTTCGCAAAAAGCAGATACACAATCAAGAATTGCAAACAAAAGGCCGTTTGCCTTAGAAATTTCTCTTTTTCTGTGGGAATTGTACAATCTCATTTTTCAATGCACACATTGTTTTCAGTGTTATCTTGTATCATAATGTACACAAGAAGCGATCATATATCAAATTTCATAAAACAGGAAACAAAATCAAGTTTAACCAGTGAACAGGGCTTATTTGTAGCAATTGACGTATTGATTATCAAAGAGGCATCAGTGATTGCTACCGGTAGGCCGATCTGGCTTACCTATTATGGGGGTGTTCCAAAACGTGGTTAAAAGATGCGCCGAATGATTTTTCTCCCGACGAACAAACCAGGTAGAGTTCAAATTTTCACTGTCTAAAACTATTTTAAGCTGAGATATTCAGAATTTAAAATGAATTTTAGAATAACACAGAGGGTTGGGGAATCTGAAGCTAGACAAAAAATTTGTAATGATTTATTTATGATAGGAAGCTGGTGGTTCCACTGTTCAGAGACATATACATGGCAGTACTTATCAGGGGAACAATACACAGTGAACAAAACGTCAGTGGAGAGGAAAAGGAAAAATTATCGATGCGCATCCTTGGAATTTCAATCTACGTCGGAATGTTCCACAGACAGAATTTCCCGTCTGTGTGACCGTGATAATTAGGCAGTAAAAGCTTAGGTCTATCTGAGAAAAACAGTTGATGCCATGAGGAAACCAAACCTGTGCTTCAGCACAGCGAGTGAAGATAAAAGGCTTGTCGATTCCTCTTCAAAGTGCTTTTAGGGGCGGAGGGTGAAATAAACATTTTTTACAGGAGTTTATAACGTCGTCCTTTTGAGGGTTGACGTCAAAAGACATCATTTGGAATAGTTACCACAGAACCACAGTCACTGTGGTCTTTTCTGTTGCCCTTTATTGCCGCACACAATCTCCCCACAGATAGCTGTTGTTGACTATTCAAAGCAAATTATGTGTCCTCCTCTAGAAGATATATCAACACATTTAAACATTCGAAATAAAAAGCCACGTCATAAATTGACGAATATTTAGTGTCTTTGGTTTTATAGAGCTCAAAATAAAGCGCGCCCTTTAGTTTTGTCTGCCCGGCGTCCTGCGTGTGGGACTACTCGCGTCCAAAAATGGCAGAAGTGAGAGTTGTTCTTGTGCCCCAAAATCGTCGTGCTCCTCTGAAGGAGTCATGGAAGTCAATCGTTGAGGTATGTTTTAAAGGGATGGTAACATCCGTACTACCTTTTTTTACTACTGATTCAGTTCAATCCTGTTTACAAGACCCTTTTCGGGAAATAAAGGCCCATCAGATCGTGTAACGTTGCCATTTTGACCAGAACAATGGGGGTGAGCATTTCAAGCGTCCCTCCTTACAGACTGTCAAATTAACACTCGGCAGTAGACGATGTTCAACTAATACCCTATACTTCTGAGGGTCTGTCGCCACAGGCTGCAGTCGCTGAATATAGATTGTGCCGCACCCTCTAAACTAATGCACATAGGTTTTTGTCCGGGTTCTTCAAATATTTTGCTTACTAGCCAAACGCTGAATGCACCTGCGAAATATCATTCTCCTGTTCAGATGTTCGAGTTATTTTACGCGCTCATTAAGACCGTTCTCAAGAATGTTAATGGAACCCTCAAGAGTAGCACTGGGAACATGGTTCTCTTTCAAAGTTCTTTTTAAGAGCAGTCCTGTTCCGTATGGGCGGTGTCCGAGCTTACCTGAGTGAAATCAATGTGCATCCGATGGGGTGCTAATATGTATGTGGGGCATTTTTATTGCCGAATACTTCGACAAAGTCTCGAGGCGGCCTTCGATGATTTATATAGTTGCTCTCTTGAGAACGTCGAGGTTTCTAACTGGATGTCCACTAAAAACGTCACGTCACGACATTTCCTTTCCTTAATCTACAGTATCTAGCGCTCCGGTGAATATGCTACAGCCGTTTAATGCCTTTGTGTTTGCCTCCCTGTTGACAAACCTTGACGATGGTGTGCAGAGCAAATTGAAGTTTTCTACTATCGTTTAGGGGCTCCGTTTCAATCCTAAACAGGGTGTACGATGATCTTATGAGCTGGGAGCACGCAGGCTATCTCACTGACACACTGAGAAAGTTTTTGAGAAATTGAATAAGTAATGCTCTATGGGTATTGCAACTTTATCGCCGTCTCTACAGGAAGCGCTCGGTGCAGGAATCATAACCCACGTGTCCATGAGATTCGACCGTACACATTCAAAATTCTGGCCTTAATACCGGCTAGCGTCTACAATCTAGCTGTCTTCGGCCACATATGCACAAGAACATTTTCATGTACGAAATGGTACGACGCCATTCGTCCGAGTCCGAGACTATCCCGACACTTCAAGTCTCGTGGATAGGAAGGTTGCTGATTGATGCCCGCTCTCGGTCCACGCAGTTCGTCGCGTTGTGTGTGTGTGCCGTGTGGAGTGGCGGACTGGTGGGCTGGGAACGGGCTGAAGCAGCACCTTCTACGGTTCTCTCACGCAAGTGAGAGACACGCCGTTCAACCCCCGTTGTGTGAAATCCTGATGTTTGTGTGTATGGGGGGCCAGGTCGTGCTGTGGCGCGCGCAGTCACGGTCAGTCGACCGTGTCAGCCACCGCGCCCATCCACCACTCCAGTTTGCCGACCGGCTCGGACGGCGGCTGGGGTGTGGGAATGGGAAGGGAGAGTGAGGTCGACGACTCAGCGCACTTTCTCCTCACTATAAACACTCTGACGCGCTTGAAGCTATCACGGTGCGCTAAAAGCCGTGGCTTGGAAGGTTGCCAACTGACGGGGTACCTTGGACCTCCTCCTTAACGGGAGGCGGTCTGAGAGTCAGGCTGCAATGGCGCCTTTTTAATGTGGTCTTTATGGCACTCCCACCACAGTGTGGGATCCGAGCCAGGCGTTGGCGGCACGCCTAGGTGCGGCTTCGGCCGTGCCAGCCTCCAAATCTCTGTTGTGTTGATTGAAATCCTGGTTATTGTTGTGTGGACCAGGGGGTGTGGTGGAACGCCAAAGTGAGGATTCGTCCGAGCCATCCACCTGCGGCCTCCCTTGTCTCCGGTCTTCTTGACTCTGTCTTGATACCGGGCTCGGGCGAGGGAGGTGGAGAGAGTGTAGGTAGATGCAGCGCAAGTCTACTGGCACTATAAACCCCTGCGCAAGTCACCGTCCCTGCTCCAACCTGCTGTGGGGCACACGGTGGACATCATCGAAATCGATGGTCGAACTGTCATACGACGCCATTCGTATTTATACACGTAATGGACAATGCCATGGTCTTTTGACTAGCCACTTGTTCAGTGCATAAGTTAGACAGTGTTAAGAATAAGTCGAATGCGCCTGTCAAGCAGATGCCTGTTATCAACGATGAGCATGGTCCACGTAAGCAGCACAGCTTATTTTGCATTTCAATTCGTAGTATGTTCTCCTGATTGAAGTTGTGTTTAAGAATATTTGACCGTTTCTAGGTAAACCAACTGGTGTGCTCGATCTTATCCGCGCAAGTGATTTTGATATTTGATCACTGTGCTGTGTATTCAGTGTAGGTCAGCCAGTGTGATCAAATTCACATACAGCATTTTCACGTCTGGTTACTAGCGTAACAAGATGGAATAGACGTTCCTGCGTGCATTCATATCGAATGTATCAGTGCATGCAGAATGCTCCCGAGGAGTTTTTCTAGGTAATAACACGCATATGGGGGACTTTAGCAAGCCTTGATTACAGTATTACTATGTCGATACCGTCTAGCCTCAGTGTCCCCCACAGGAATTCACTGTAACGACAGCCAAACACTGTATCAAAGCAAGTCATGCGAATAGTCATCGTGATCGAGAATGTGTCCCAGCACAATTTTCGTCAGTTCATCCATTTGGACCTTAGAAGCTGGTTTGATTCTTCTGGTTGTTGGATCACTCGCGCTTTTTAACCCTTTTGGTCTTAACGACGACCACCTTTACAACGATGCCAATGGGGCATGAACCGCTGTAATTCTCGCGCTTCACACTCTTTTCCTCGACGATAGGCACAATAACGCCCAACCCTTATTATCTGGCATGATCCTATCTCCCAGTGCTTTTGTATTACCTTATGCTTTTCGACGGTTGAATTGTTGACTGAAGATTTCAGCAGGGCTGCAGGCTTCGGGACGCTCGATTTCCACTCACTCGCAATATCTGCCCGTTAAAAGCGGTCACACGACATTGTACGGGTTGTCGAAGACATTTTACTCCTATGAAGAGGTAATAAGCATATGATTCGTTCGTAGACATCGAGAGGGTGCTCGATGTGCTTATGTTAGTGCTCTGTCTCGACCGAATTATCGGTAACTACGTCACCATTAAGAGCCATTCAGTGCAAACTTGATAACTGCCTGGGCGGCATGTTTGGGTGTTACCGTCATCTGAGGTCTGCTCCGTTCAAATTGCCACTTCGGTCATTATATCTTGCACCTTCCTCTAGTCGACCTTTTTCCGGAATGTGATGGAATATGTTGGGGACTGTGGCTCGACCTTTGTGATTACATTTCGTTAGAGAGTCCCAGTCATTAAAGTACTACCGGGTGAATGCAGTACTTTTGTTGTTCTATGGATGGCAGATTTCTGTCAGTCAGTCAGTATATTTGGAGTAAACGACAGAAGCCTTGAAAACTCCATTTACAGGGTACAGATGTAAGGGAAGTGGTTAAATTGCCAAAATTTTGCTTGCAGGTTTAGTAAGGGGAATTCATAAATCTAATAATGTAACATAAAGGCGAAAGGGGTATAGTATTCGCGAAATAATTGCGAAAAACTGTTCACCGCATTCGGACTGTGAAAATTTCCATATGGGCTAAGTTTGAAGCACAAAATAGGATCTGTTGAAATCCTGTTAGTAGTATATTTATAGTCATTCCAGTAATCCGTTAGATCAGGCTTCGGCAGTTCGGGTTGCCTTTCAGCAGGTGAGTATCCAGTTGTCTCTTGAACACGTTCACGGTAGGGGAATTAATAACAAACTCCGGCAAAGAGTTCCATTCGCGAATGACCCTCTGTGATAAAAAGGAGGAACGTTGATTTGTGTGGCACAGTTCTCTTTTAAGCTGGTAATCATGTCGTCTGAGATTGGACTTGGGTGTTATTTCAGAAAACGTTTCCCTGTCGACATCCAGATTAAGTCCTTTTACCAACTGGGACGTTGCTATGAGGTCACCTCTGTCCTGCCTGTAGTGGAGGGGATAAAGTTTCATGGCCGTCAGGCGCTGCTCGTGCGTGAAGTTTTTGAGGCCATGAACATCCTTTGTAGCACGCCGTTGTACACCTTCAAGGATATCTATATCCTTCCGAAGCCACGGCCGCCAAGCCTGTACCGCATATTCCAGGTGCGGCCGCACAAATGTCCCGTATACTTTGCAAGTGTAATAAACGTTCTGCGTATCGCGCTCATAACGGACATTGCCCGCGCAGCAACTTTAGAACACTGCGTGGTGACGGTTAGATCGTCTTTAATGAATACACCGACATCTTTTTGCACATCTACGGTTTTAAGTGGTTGATTGTCTAGGAGATGCTGTCGTGGGAGTACATTTGTTCTTCGCCTCGCTGATACTACGTGCATTACTGCACATCTTTTGACGTTGAATTTCATGCACCATTTCTGGCTCCATGCGTGCAAATTCTCTACGTCCTCTTGTAGTATTTTGACGTAATCTTCATCTTTTTTCGCTCTCCAAAGTTTTAGATCGTCTGCAAAGAGGGCTATGTCCGATTTCACTTCCCGTACTAGGTCATTTACATAAATAATGAATAGGAGCGGCCTAAGAACTGACCCCTGTTGGACTCCACTCGTAACAGGTGCCCATTCTGAGCAGTAGCCACTAGCAGTGACTTTTTGTCGCCGTCCGCTTAGGAAATCTTAAATCCAGTTCGGAAGATTTCCTCTTATCCCTACTCCTGACAACTTTTGAATGAGGCGCTTATGTGGGACGCAATCCAACGCCTTGTTGAAGTCGAAGTAAATGACATCAACTTGAGCGTCTAAAACTTTTTCCCCCTACTCCAGCTTTAAACCAAGACTGACCCCCGTTTTCAGGACCTTCATTCTGGTATGTCGTCTTACCTTTGCAAGGTCAAAACGTCCGACACGGTATCGTATGAGTGCCCTTGAGAGGCGGGCATTGAGACGTGCTCCGACGGCTACCTGTCCTGCTCGAAAGAATTGGCGTGTTGCGGCACCACTCCATAGTTTGCTGTCATCCTCTTGGTTGTAGAACCTTGAAATGACTAGAATGTGGTCTGACTGGTCAGTGGAATGCGAATTCGAGAGCTGTGTGGATACATTGGGGGCACCTAATAACAAGCAGCTACTTTTGGTTAGCAATGCTCGGTGGTTCTTCGCTCTGATCACATTGAAAATCGAGTGCAAACTGGCCAGTTAGTCGGCTGTCTTAGGAAAGAGACGCGATTGCTGGACAGGAGTTTTATTTGCACGGCGTTTCAAACGCGGATGTCCGAGCACGCAGCAGCAGTGGGGAGGAACGACGCAAACTCCCTAACCGCAGCTCATTTGACGAGGGCCGGTCATATCCGGAGCCTGCGAGGGGTGACGATCGCATAAGTCACTAACTTATTAAGGCATGGCTCCCCGCCCTTTCTCAATTAGCAAGCGCAATGACCTCCCGTCTCCATATTCTGCGCTTAGACTCTATCATGGCAGAATAGTTAGCCACGCAGGGAGCGCGCGGATGAGCACTGACCCCAATGCAAGTGCCGGTGGGCCAGACGAAGAGACAACACGTAGGACAACATTACATCAATGAACGGATAGGCTGCAAGCAATCAAGCAATTATCGTACCACCTGCAGGCATATGCGATGAATGCGGGAACTTCATCCATCTGATTATGCCTCTAGTCATGGACTCCAGTTCACAGTCGAAACGTCAAGCGAATAAAACTCTTGTGCCAGCCGTCGCATCTTCTACTTTTTTACTGTTTACCGGAACTTACCTCCTTGCTTCTGTCGGCAAGCAGTTTGTAATGTCGTCAAGCCTCGTCCGACACTTCCGGTTACTGGGAAGGATTACATGACTGAAAGAGAATTCGTCAACCAGTTCTTACAGCTGTGACCAGAGGGTTTTACTAAACTGATCAGCAGCAGCTGTTAGGGCCCAGGTATTGTATACTTACTTGCGGCAGCATTTGTCATGGTCGATTCACTTGACTAAATTCTGCGGGTTCACCGCACCATCAATGACTGTCCTCTGCAGTCGATCGGTGACTAACTCCCGAACGAAGTTGAGTCTGTTAACATGTCTATCCTCTACCCCAAGGACCTCAGCGTAAGATATGCACTCCAGATCAGCTTGTACCGCCTCCACGCACATCTTCAGTTGGCGACCTATACGTTCTCACGGCCCTTTGCTAATGACTTACTGAAGAATCGAGTCGTTAGATCGGCACGGCACATGACATAAGCATCCGAATCAGCCTCCAAAGAGCGTGTTGTTAGCAGACTGATTTGTCCACCGACGCTGGTTGCACAGTAGGAGGGATCATCATTAATCGAATACTTCCAGGGGGTATAAATCTTCCGAACATATGAACCATGTCTCACCTTCGTATAAGTAAATTGTCTTGACAGTAGCCTCGCCTGTCCTCAGCTTGCCTTTCGCAGTTATCTCGACTGCATTTTTTCCGGTGGTGACCCCGCGCCTGTTTGATCCGATCGTGTGGATTTCGGCTTTATCTTGCCCATTTGGAAGAAAGTTTACTCCAAGGCATCAGTGCTAGTCCACTAGCCCAAGGGTTTCCCCGTCCACCATTACCGGATATATACCTTTGACGGCGAAGCCCGAGGCTTTGAGACCCACGTCGACTGCCTCCATATTTGTCTGGGATACGATGCATTTCATTTTTGCATCGTAACTTCATCAGCGTAATCTAGATGCGCGAGATACGAACCACGATCTACTGTCGTGGTTGACCAAACTTAAGGTGTCTGCGTTCTTGTGGATACTTGAAAATTGCCCCGTCTAAAATGCTTATGAAATGGTCTTCGGTCTCGTCTGAGTGAATCAGTAAAAATAACTGCGTCGACTTTGTCGTAAAGATGACTGATGTTTGACTTTTTTCTGTTGTCGTCACCCGGGGCCCAAATGTTTCGCATCTTGTGGGAAATCAAACATGCAACTATCATGAAAACTCGCCAGCCCACTTAGTCATTTGTGCACTGCCTGTCGAATGTGACCGAAGTCCTATTTCTTTGTCTCCATCAACAAGCTATTGTTTAGCTCTTTCTGTTGCAGATTTTGACCAAACAGTTGAAGCTAATGGTTTGTATGAAAACCGCAAAGAAGAGTTGGAAAGTCATGCTTCGCAATTCCCCCGAGACCACAGATCCACAGTTCCTCCAGAAGGGTGTCGACTTCGTGTCGGCCTTCGTGAAGGGGTTTGCGTTGCAAGATGCCCTTGCGATTGTGCGCATAGATGGGATTTACGTGGAAAGTTTTCACATTTCGGACGTACGACAACGTTTACGGGTAAGTAGTCATTCTGGATATTATTTTTTCTGATATGACACAGTATGCTTGGTTTGACCAATCTACTCCCGGCACCCGCAGTCATCGTTAACGACATTTGCCTAACCGTCATAGACGACATTACCTATCGTCGTAGCACCATCTCAGGAGGCATTTGACTTAGCGAACGTAATTTTAGCCCGGATTTTCCAAGTCAACGAAGCCTTCGGTCGGCTCCAGCCCTTCTTGTTGACTCAATGAGGTATTCTCGACAAAAAAAATTGAATATGTACACGACTGGGTCCTTGAAAATACTCGTCCCTTTCCATCTGTCCTTTCCATCGGCGGTAATCAAAGTGAAGTGACGAGTAGATTTCGGACACGCACGTCCTGCATTTGACTCATGTGTTCAACATCTCTGCAATGCCGAAATGAATTAAGCGTTGATGACGCGAATACTTCTTGTGAATGTCTGATGGGCCTCTATCTAATCGAATCTGCCTTGGTGACGTCGCCATGGGCGCTCCTCACCAAGGGAAGCAGCCAAAACGTCACGGGGACGCTTTGAGCTCCCCAAATGTCCCGGAATCCTCCGAGAGCCCTGGGTGACCATTGTTCAAACCGACAGTTATAGCGAACTGCGGTAAGAAATAGCACCGCAATTTTCGAAGCCACTCAAATATAAGAGATTATCCAGAAACGTCAGGGACGCAAAACTGGAATGTTAGGGGTAAAGAGATGCCAACGGTCAGCCTTTTTCCACTTGTCCTCGCTGCCAACACCCGCCTCAAACTGGAGCCACCGTGGTTCGACGTCTCAACGCCCGTCTCCACATAGCCAGCTCGGACCAATCTCATCGCAGTTGCTAAAACTTCCAATGCTGAAAACCTGGTCAAGCCACTGTAAAACCCGGCCCTCCGATGATTAGATCACGCCGACTTGCTTGCATCCGTGACCTCTGCGACTCCAACGTGAGACCTGGATAGAACGCCTGATGTAGCAATTACAAAACCTGGGTTCACGCAGGCTGGTTGCAGTCACTAATTCCTTCATCCCGCCGTATGCTGTAACTCCACACCCGGACCTGTCTAACCTGTTCGCCATCTACCTGGACTGCCCAGCAGCAATTGTTGTTTTCTGCCCACCGACAATCTCTGAGCGCCAACACCCCAATCCACGCCCACTTTCAGCTTACTTTGAATTATTGCAGCCTCTATAATGCGAGCTGTCAGGATTCTCTATTTGTCACTAAAATCACAGGCTGCTTAGTTAAGGTGCATGTTGTTGATAATGGCGGACGAACTGTTTCAGAGTCATTCTGCACTTTTATCTTGCAAGAGTCAAGGGAATGTGTTAGTTATGTTCCATCAGTGAAATCAGTTTCATGTTTCTCCATTTGTAGGCTGTGGGGGGTTATATTATTACTATCGTCTTATCTTATAATAAGCATACTTTCCCTGGGCTGTCTTACGCTTTAAATACAGCCAATCAGTAATCTGGGTTTTAAAAGATAACGGAAGCCTTCCAGTGAGGAGCAACGAGCGACTGTACATTGACGTAAACGTTAACTGCTTCAGCCTATCCAAAAATCTGTATATCTGCACAATCCAGCGGTGCCATGGGCGCATCATGCGAGCAAGCTGACACAGCCATTCTGACAGCGATTATTGATTCCTCATAACTCTCTAAATACTCGTAGCCAACTAGAAGGCGACCTATTGTCTTTTTCTCTAACCCGTAGGACAGATTCTACGCATATAGGAACGGTTGCCTCATTGAGTCACCTGTACTACTGTCGAAAGAGGGGGAAGATAGTTAAATCCGAAGTCGCCGGTCGGGATATGGCGTGTCCAGTAATTCGTCCCTTTCCTTCGGGAGCCAATTGCAATTACACTAATCCCTGGGCCAGGCGATGCCATAACTTGTCTCACAGTGCTCCACGGTCACATACCTGCTGTATACTCGCGAAAAACATCTAAAAACTAAAGTATTTCTTGGCTTTTTGGATATTCTCCTATTTCTTGACATTTGCAAATCGGTCTGTTGCGTAGTTGTTCAAGCTATTTGTCTTTGAACCACCCCAATAGTGGCCTCGTCATAAAACTGGCTTGTTGGGCACGGGTAATGCATGTTTCCTTCATGCCCCGAAACTTCCTTTCTGTATGTCCAAACTCGGTTTTTTTTGTTACTTTTCAGGGCGATCACATCGCACGAGCGGTGGGCCGGATTTGTGGTGCCAACGGTCGAGTCCGACTGTCCATTGAGAATGCCACGCGGACGCGCATCGTAGTCGCTGATCAGACCATTCACATCCTTGGCAGCAATGAACGGATAGCTGTAGCCCGTAAGGCTATCTGCAACCTTATTATCGGTGCGCCGCCCAGCAAGATCTTTGGTCGCATCCAAACTCAAGCAGCTCGACTCGACTCCACATTTTAAACCACGTCCAGTGGTGTGTGGGACCCGTTTATTTGTGATGCTCACATTTTGTGATGACCCCCATTTCCCTTAAAGACGGCTCGCCTTTGTGAACTCGGCATGCCTTATTTGGATTTTGATGCCTTTTACGAAATCACTATTCCTGTGCAGTGTGGATTTCCCAAAGTGGGATTAATTAAATCTAAGAAAAAACGCTTCCTCAAGAGTGACGCTGGTGTCCTTTTCATAACTCATCCAGGGCTGTAGGTGTCCAATCCTGCCTTATGCACTCAGGTTAGTAAACGTATGAGATCGGGGTCGATAATCTGAGAAAAATGATGTGCTCACCGGATCAAGGGGATCGCATTGCTGACGTTTCGGGGAGCTTGGTCAGCTCTCCATTCTCGAAGCGTTTAGTGCGAAAATGGACCAGAATTTTGAATAGACAGCCGAATTAGTTGGTCTTGGGTTGATCGATCTTTTTCTCCTTTCGTCGCCTTGGCCCTCTGACCGTCCTGTTTCACGTCTCATACAACCCGCCAGGGTAGACATTGACCATCGGCCCCCGGCAACAATTCGTCGCCGTTCGATGCAACCCAAAGACATACTGCTACCCACTGAAACCTCAGCAGTTGCCTATTGAATACGTTGTAGCGATGGAAACTGAAACTACGTTGGGGAGACCGAACGTGAACTACAGACCCGCCTACATGAGCGAAAACTAGCAACTCGGAGTCTAGACCCAAACTCACAGCGCGCGACTCACATTGGAGAAACTGGTCAGTTTTGATTTTTAAGGAGCAGCCGTCTTAGGCCGGAGCACCGCAAGGACAGGACGTCTCACGCTTGAGGCTTGGTACTCAGATGCCAACTCCATCAACAGGCATCTAGACCTTCCTGCGGCCCATAAGGTCCTTCGTCACTGCATACGCCATGCCCAGGACAAGACGGTAACACGGGACCCAAGAACACCGAGCAAACGGCCCGTTGACTAATTCCCCCAAAAGGGGGACGCAAACGCAACCAACCGCAGTTGAGTTGACTACACTCAACACAGGAGACCACCAGCATTCACAAACGACGGTCAGAGGGCCAAGAAGGCGAGAGAAGTAAAAAGATCGGCTAGCCCAAGGCCAGGAAATTTAGTCGTCTATTCAAAATTCTGGTCCATTTTTGCACTAAACGCTTTGATCATGGAGAGCCGGTCAAGCTCCCCGAAACATCAGCAATGCAATCCCCCTGGTCCGGGGAGCGCCTCACGTTTTTAATGCCTCGTGTACGTTACTGTCATAGGCTACTTGTACTTGTTCTGACGGCCACTTCGCATAAGTTGTTAGACCAATGATGCGTTATTTAGGGCAGTTGGTTTATTTTTACTGTGCTTCCGGGCGTGTTCTTCGTAAGGACTGTCAGATCGGGATTTCGTCTGGGTACTGGGGGAAAGGTGTGAAAAATAAATCCTACTAGTCCACTGAGATAAGCGTATTTCCTTCAAAATTAGGGTGTTTCTGTCATCGCCGCGAGTTCTGGCAGTTCGTTAAACTCGCATAGTAGAATACAGCTATTTTGCGTGCAGCCGTTACTTTATGCAACACGGGACCGTATGCATAAGTATGAGTTGTGCCATTAAAGTAGCATAAACATAACGTCAACAAAACTTAAAGTACTACTCTGGCTAAATATCCTCTGAGAATCAATGTAACATGTAGTATGACATTTTCCAAAATAAGGTTACTATACGTGCATACAAATTCTAGGTACTAAGATATTTCTTAAACAGCTGGTGTATTTTGCAGGTCTCCGTCGGGAGTTTCCCATTACCCAAGAATAATTCTATTTGCCCTTCTCTGACCCCTGCCTGCAATTTCCATTCCGAAAATAAGGAGCTGACTTGAAACCATTTTATTATCATTGCTTAGTTCTAGGTTCATATATACATTTATGTATGTTGGAGAAGAAGCGTCTCAAGAAATGTAGTTTGAAATACCTGAGACTATTTGTGACCTCCTCCCTAGCTCGTCGCCAAACTCGTGGGTCATGTGCATTGCCCCCAAACGGGCCACGTGAGAGATGCGCTGGACCAACACGGTGGCCATATCGGATTCTGGCAGGCGTTATCGGGTTACACACCATAACAAATTCCAACAATCCGGTGTGCGGTGGCAGACCCGGTTGTCGACAGCCGTCGCGCACACTGGGACCCCCGCCACTCCCCCATTCTTGTTGTTGGTCAAGAACCCCATCATTTCCTATGTGGAGTGGAGAGCCAAGGTGCGAACTCGACCGTGCCATCCGCCTGCGTCCTGCCCTGCCTCCGGTATTCTTGGCTCTGTCTTGACCACGGGTCCAGGTGGGGGAGGAGAGAGCGCGGTAGATGCTGCGCAAGTCTACATTCACTTTAAAGTAGTTCACGCGCAAGTCACCGTGTCTGCTTCACCTTGTTGTGGGGCACACGGTGGACATAGTCGGCAACGACGGTCAAGCTGTCGGGTCACGTACAAAAGTGGCTAATTGCATAACCGTGCCGAACAAGTGATCCCACGTTTTACCAGGGCCTAGGCCAATGCGCGTCAATTATACTTCGTCATCCCCTCGGCAGCGGCTGTGCTCTCTTTCATTTGTACGTAAAATCTAAATCGGTATGCCGATTGATGCATGCCTCACCTGAGTGCATTGCTTCCATGAATTCGCTCTTTCCTTATTGGGCAGACGCCAACAACGCGAGTGTTCTTACACGCAAATTTGGGCCCACTGCCCAGTGATAGATGATCGCGTCTCGTCACCGCTAACCGATGTTCATGTATAGGAGTTTGAACAGATTTCCCAGTTTGGCCACAATAGACCGCGTCACAAATGAAACATGGGATTTCGTAGACAAGATCTTTTATGCTGATGTAGCCAACCCTGTCCTTAGGGTGTACAAGCTGTGTACGTAAGATACTTGTCGGCTGGTGCGCTGCGTGTATCTGGTGTTCTTTAGTTGTCCTTCGACTAGTTCAGACACATTTTTCGCGTATGAGAGTGTTCGTCGAGTGATTTGTTTTGGTGCCCAAGCGGCCGTGACATTGAAAATACCTTTTCCCTTGAATGGCTGATGCCTCATGCAATGACGTATAGTCATACGGGTACCCATTTTGGGAAAGTCGTTTTTAGAGGTATTTCATTTCTTCTTGAGAACTTGTTTTATTAAGTCAGTGAGTTTTGGCTCGTTTCAGAAGGCTGTAGAATGTGCTCTGTTTGTGAGAGACATGCTGGTTGCTCTCAAAATGTAGGATGACTTCTGAATATACCTCTGCGATAAACTGATGTGTGAAGTGATCCATCAGTTTTTCGACGTACAAGGACATCCAGGGTTGGGAGTTATCCATCAACCTCTGTTTCGAAGGTAAACTTGATTCCTGGAAATATAACGTTAAGACTTATATGGATCAGATTTGACAGTTTTTCTTTCTTGACGAGGACAAATGTGTCATCTACATACCGCATCCAGAGTTTTGGGTTAACTGTGGGAAGAACCATGGTTTCTAATTTCTACATTATGACCTCTACCAGGAAAGTGAATATGCGAGAATCCATGGGAGCGCCTTTTAATTGTCAATGGCGTTGCTTGAGGAAGGAAAAGTTTGTTTTCAGACAGAGATATGGGAGTTGGAGTAAAACGTCCGCAGGCACCTCAGAAGTGTATGTTTGAAGAATTTCTTCGGCACAGCTCCTCGACAAATCTAGCGGAATCGAGGTTAAAAGCGAGGCTACATCGAATGCTGCCATTATCTCATCACATTCAGTATAGTAGTATATTTAGGGTAATAGGGAGTGCCCTTGATGACCCTATTGAAAGCGGTGCACACAGTATTAATGTTTGTTGCACATCTTACCAAAAGTTTGCCAGTAGCATATTTTTTTACGGGAAATGTTTTTACAGTATGGAACCGAGAAGGGTGGGGCAGGCGGTCCTTTCCATGTGCAAATGACATTGTAAGCGCACTTATATACAATCAGCACAACCTGCAGTCATTTGTGTGGTTAGCGGGAGAAAATTTCATTAAACTTGCAGGGATGCATTACATAGGGATGAAATCAGGAAGTAAAATTTATGGCTGGCCGTAGTTAGTCCTGCAGTGAGAGTCGTCGTTTATCAATGATCAAACAATCCAGCTGCCTTTTGAATGCAACCATTGTATCAGATGTCACTATGTCACTTGGGAGTGACTTCCACGGTCGAACCACACGCTGACTGAATTAAAACTTCCGATGTTCTGGGCGTGTGCACTCCCGCTCGACTTTGTACGGATGACCGCGCAGGTCGTGAAGTCAAAGAAGTCTTCAGATTTGAGCGAACATTTTCGCCCGTGTATAATGCAGAATGCCCATAACAGGTAGGGGAAACAGGTTTAGCTGGATCAGTCTTTCTAGATATGACAGTCCTGAGACCGTCCAGTTTTGTGGCCCGTCGTTGCACCTGCTCTATTGCATCACTGTCTTCATCCAGGGCGTCCATGCTAGAATTCTGTATTCCAAATGCGGTCTGACGGGCGTACCTAATATCTGTGAGAAGAGTTCTGAGTTTTAGCAAAATATCAGTATTTATATGGGCGCTCAGCCGGACATTCATAATCGAAAAACGGAGTCTAAATTTGAGTAAAAGCAGTCCATATGACTGCGATATATAGAAAAAGGCATGCTCTTAGGTTTACGGTTGAAAAATATTAGTATTGTTTAGGAACGTGAAAGAAACGGCCAAAGGTGTCGAAATTTGTCTGACCACACCGTGCAAAAAAGTAAGGTGCACAGAGATCCGTCAACGGAGTGCAGTATTAAAGCACTTCTTAAAGAGGTAACGTATTAGGGAACGTTTTCTTGTTGATCGATCGCATATTCGTTGCTGACTTTCGCTGTGGACAGCCACTTTTTCGAAAATGAAGTTTAATGTGTGAATGAGTTTTTACATGTGACCCAAACAACCTTCTTCGTGAGAAGGAGCTTCCAAGCATTCGCTATTTCAGCAAATGCCTTCAAGAATT